TCTAGAACATATAAAGAATTAAAAAATTTCAGCCCCTTCAAATTCAAAGACCCAATCCAAAAATGGGCAACTGAGATGAATACACACTTCTCAGATAAGAAAATACAAATGGCAAATAAATACATGAGAAATGTTCAACATCATTAGTCATTCAAGAAATGCAAATTAAAACAACGCTGAGATTTCACCTTATCTTAGCAAGAATGGCTAGCATTAAGAAATCAATCAGTAACAAATGCTGGTGAGGCTGTGGAGAAATAGGAACCCTTGTCCACTGCTGGTGGGAATGCAGACTGGTGAAACCACTGTGGAAATCAGTTTAGAGATTCCTCCGAAAACTAGGTCTAGAGGTCCCATTCAACCCAGCTATTCTCCTTCTGGGTATTTTCCCAGAAGATCTAAAAGCATCATATCACAGTGATATATGTGCACCTATGTTCATAACAGCACAATTTGTAATTGCTAAATTGTGGAAGCAAGCCAAATGTCCATCCACTGAGGATTGGATAAGAAAATTGTGGTACTTTTATATAATGGAATATTACTCAGCTATAAAGAAAAATAAACTCGAGGCGTTTATAGTTAAATGGTCACAGCTAGAGACCATACTCATAAGTGAAATAAATCAGACCTGCATGTGCAAGGTTCACTTGAAACAAGGAATTCAGGTCCAGGAATGGCGATAGAGAGACAGCTCCCACCCCGTGTAAAAAAATATATACATATTAAAAAGAAATAACCTTTGTCTTGTTGTTAAATACTTCCCTACTACTGGTACAGATTAGAATAAAGAAAATACATGGAGAAAAGAGAGGGAGACAAGTCAGAGGGCAAGCGTACTAAGACAGATTTTTGGAGTACAAACGATCTTGGGAATCACCAAGCCCAGCAATGGTGTTCTCTGTGGAGGTCGCTTTACAGGTTCTGCTGTGGTTGGATGAAGCAGGGCACAGACAGTAGTGTCTCAGCCAAGTTCCTCAGGAGACCATGACACACATTATTATATACCACGGAGGTGTTCTGGGAAAGTGAAATCACTTTGCAGAGCCAGAATGTCCCAGAAACAACGCTAGACAAATCACTAGGCCCATGGCCTGCCTGCCCACATACAGCCTAAAGTCCCAGCCAAGTCTCCTGGCATCCCACAGTTCCACTAGAGGATAAAATCAGTAAGTGCCAGCGACATTAACAGGCTTATCAAAGACACATTTTTCTATCATAATGTCTTTCCTTCATCCTAGAAATAACACTGGTTTTTATAACATATCTTCATTTTATAGTTCTTATACTACATTAATATATTCGTTATTTCTTAACCAATGGCAAATCATAAAATTCATAGACTACTCAGACTGCAGCACTACTTAGCTTTTTTTTTTTTTTTTTAAAAGTATTGGGGATCAAACCCAGGGGTACTATATCACTAAACTATGTGCTCTACCCCTCTTTTTATTTTGAGATAGGGTCTTGCTGAGTTGTCCTGGCAGGACTGAACTTATGATCCTTCTGCCTTGGCCTCTTTGGTGCTAGGATTACAGGCATGGGCCCTCAATTTTAACATGAGAAAACTGACAGCAGAGATATTAGTAACTTAAATGTTTCTGGAATTCAATTCTCATTTCTGAGATCAATAAATTGGACTACAGTAAGTACCTGATTTATTATGAACATTCAAATTGTGAACTCACAGATATAAACCAGCCTTACATTTCAAACATTCGTAGATGCAAACAAATTGTAAAAGTAGATCATGAGTCTGCCAGGCATTACTACAGTTGTGCTGCTGTGTGCTTACTGCAGTGTGATAGTATACAGTAGTACAATGCTCAATCAGAGCCCAGGATGTGTGGGAGACTTGGGGAAAGAGTGAATGGTTAAATTTGGGGGCAAAAGTACACAGGGTATGTGAGGAATAAATGGTTAAACTGTAAGGCAAAAAAATACAGGTTCTATGAGAAATGAATGGTTAAACAAGTTTAGATTAGTGAAGCATGTTGTGTCTGGCCATTGTCCTTCCCCTTTCCCCAAGAAAACTATCTATTCTTAAGACAGCTCCTTTCCCAAACTGTTTTTCTTCAGCTCTTTTCACTGCTACTGATATTCTACATAAAAGCTGGAGAGTTCTCAGCTTTGCGGCTTCTCCTGAAAGTCTCCCTAATCCTGAGCCCCCTTGGTTGAGATGGCCCCTCTGAGACTCTTGATTGAATCATTCATCCGTACACCACCATGGTCACACATATCCTTGTTACATTATAACAAAGATATCTAGAAGCAAGAGGAAAAAAGCAATGGTGATATGGAGGGGACTGCTAAGAAGCACAAAATAATAACTCATGAAAACAGTTTATTTACAGTTGTACTGCAGTGTACCACCATTTTAAGGTAACTGTAAAAGTAAAAACAGTATTTTTGTGTATCTGTTTTAATGCTTTACATTGTATATTTGTGTGAAAGGTATATAAGACTTACTCTGTCAGACATCTGACTTAAGAACTTCAGCAGTGAACTCATTCATAAATTGGGGACTTATTGTAGACTCCTTCCCTGTGGTTACAACCTTGAAAGATGAACTAATATGCAATATGTAGTTGTATTAGTATTTGGCTTTGGTTCTTTCACATATATTTCAGTTTCTCATGATTTTATGAGTGTTTCTGCTAAAAACGATTATTGTGTGATGGCAAATGAACAGACAACGAAAAATAATTCCAGGTGTTCTTTTTAATGTGAGGGCAATTCAAAGTAAATTAAAGAACTTATGAATGTTTTTTGAGAAATAACAATTTTAGGTAGGCGATTGTGAGGAAGATGATCATCATGCAAGCTAAAGCCACATGATTCTTCCACAAGCCCCAACGGGAGAGATCGATGCCCTGATTTGTCAAATATTGTTTTCCAGTACATCTAAAATTAAACAGAAAAAACAAAACTTCATTCCTACCATAAGTACAGTTTTGCTCAATATATTCACTGTTCATTTAAAAAGCATACAAGTTAATCAATCATTAATAATCACTCCAGAAATAATAACTAACAATCATTAAGTGTCTATAATTTTTGTTAAGAGTCTATGCTAAACAACTTGTACTTAATGTTTTTTTTTTGTTTTGTTTTGTTTTTTTGTTTTTCTCCGGTACCGGGAACCGAACTCACGACCTTGCGCTTGCCAGGCAGGCGCTTTTGCCGCTGAGCTAAATCCCCAGCCCCTGTACCTAATGTATTAATCTGTCAAACAATCCAAACGGGTATAGATATTGCACACATTGTAAAAAGGTAGGAAAGCAGGATTCATAAATTTGGCCAATTCTACAGTCATACCATGAACCAAATTGCATGCCTTCTCTTATTCATTTATGAACAAATCTACAATGCCGCTCTCTTCAAAGGCAAATTTTATCAAGTAATCTTTCACTTATTTCCTTATGGAGAAAACCTCAATTTTGACTAATGACACCTACAGCTGTTGCTAAGATAATCAAATCTCCTTGTGGTTGTCCTCACCCACAAGAAAGCCATCCAGAACACAGCCTAAGAATTTTAAAACTACTACCACTTCGTGCATCTCTAAGAATTTAGCAGTTCCAAAAACAGCCATGGGCTTTCATAGTAAGAAAACTTTTTCCTTTCTCTTGTGAGTACTAGCTGTAGGTAAGTATGAACCCTGTGGTTATTCTTCTTATCTGGTGCCATTTTTCCCACCCACTCCCTCCTGACCAGCAGGCTTGCAGTGAGTTAGTGTTGTTATACACACCAGACCACAACAAAAAAGGAATGGCCAGTAACCTCTCTTCATTGAGGTCTCCTTGTCAATAACACAAAATAGAAATTTATCCTACATATTATTAACAGCTATTTCTATGCTACTGGGGAGATTTAGGATATTAACATTTTCTTTTCTCTCCTTAACTTCTGTATCAAAATCAAACCATTAATAACAATTATAGAAAAGGAAAATATTAGTCTTTTTTTGTGTGTCTTTTTGAGACAGGGTCTCGCTATGCAGTTCAGGCTGGCCTTGAGCTCACTTATGTAGCCTAGGCTGGTCTCAAACTTGCAACAATCCTCCTGCCTCAGCCTCCTGAGTGCTGGGATTACAGGTGTGCACCACCATGCCCAGCTAAGATTTTAAAATAAGAGCCTCTAATTTTATTAAAACCTGCAATTGTTTTAATAAAAATACAAGATTTCCTTCTCAACTTATCAAAATATGTTTCCTTCATTAGAAAATATATTCTATGATAGAGAATTGCCTTAGTTACTTTTCTCTCATTGCTGAGACAAAATACCCAACACCCAAAATTAAGGAAGGAAAGGTCTATTTAGCTCACAGTTTGTGGAGGTTTCAGTCCATACTCAGCTGGCTCCAAGACAAAGTGGCACACGGCAGAGGAAGATAGCAAAAGCAACAAGAGCAAAAAGGGAGAAGTGGCAGGAAGCAGCCTCTTTCCCACCCTTACACTGTATGCAAACTACCCACCCCAGGGCAGCTGTAGCACTCACATCCATAATCCCAATGAATTGGACCATGAATCAATCAAAAACTCTAGAACCTAGATTTCAGAAGGACTGGGAGGCCAGGCAGTGTGAAACCATGGGAGCTACAGCCACCAGAAGTGCCACTGAGGTGGAGCCACATGGAGCTAACCATACATTCCACCAGTGGCCCCTCAAAGACTCATGTATATCCCTTTACGCAAAAGACATCTTAGTCCATCTCTAAGAGTTGCCAAAGTCCTAACAGTTTCAGCATCGCTGAAAAGTCGAAGTACCAAGTCTCCTCCAAGACGTAAGGCAAACTCTTGGCTGTGAGCCCCTGTACAAATGAAAATAAAGTTAAACATTTCCAACATTCAGTGGCACAAGATAAGCATTACCACTCCAAAAAGTACAAATGGGAATACAAAGCACTGAAACCAAAGCAAGTGCAAAATCCAACCGGGCTAACATTAAGTCCTATAGTTCCACGTGGAACATCTGAAGCAATCTCTGTTAAGTTGTGAGCTCCATGAGTCTCCACCTCTATGGCCCTTCTGCTCCCTTGGCTTCTCTCTTGGGCCAGCTTTGCTCCTTCCTTGCAGCTTTCCTCAGACAATCCACATTCCTGGCTTCTCCAAACTTCTGAGGTCTCCATTGTACTTTAGGTTTCACTCTCACAGCTTCACACACTGCCTCTCAGGGGTGCACTGCCTGGCCTCCAGACCTTCTGAAAGCTAGGTGGAAGCCTTCTTAAGCTCAGAACTCTTGCATTCTGTATGTGCCTAAAACCAGCACCACAAGGATAATGCCAAGGTCTGCTGCCACCTGGAGCAGTAGCCAAACTTTCCTCTCTTTTGGCCATAGATAGGGGACAAGTGCCTGGAATGTTGGCCACTCTGAATCCAATTCTGAGGAACAAATTCTCTATGCCACCACCATTGTGGCACAGGGTGCTGCCATCACCATTCTGGTACATGGCACTCTGCAGCTTTCTCCTCAAAGCAGTCTTTCATTTTTGCAGTTTTGAGGCTGCAAAGGGTGGAGACTGGCTGCTTCTTGTGGTGCCCTCAGGCCATTTTTTCTATTCTCCTGTTCCTTCTCAGCAATGGAGATCTCCTCAGCTCTTATCTTTGCAATCTACAACTTTACTGGAGCTTCCTTTCTGGCCAAACTCACATTTTAAGCCATCCTGCTGGGCTCTTTGCTCTTAATTCTCAACATAAATCTGGCTAAAAGCCCCAACAATAGCCATGCCACTGCCCCAACATTCGACAGCCTTGAAATTTCTTTTGCCAACAACCAATGCAGTCCTTCTTCCCAGCAGAAACCTCCCAAACCTGGTGTTAGCCGGCAGGATTTCTATGAGTCTTTTCTGATCTTTTGAGTTCTGACCAGAATCTCTGATACTGAATAGCCGAAGGAGTTCTAGCGCTTCTCTTTCAGGTAACATCTCTTGAATCTTTCCAAACTCCTCCCACAAGCCATTTTCAAAGGCTTTTGAACCACAGGGTCAGATATAGTCATAGCAATGACCCCACTCCTCTGGTACCAAATTCTGTCTTAGTTACTTTTCTCTCGTTGTTGAGACAAAATACCCAGTGCCCAATATTAAGGAAGGAAAGGTCTATTTAGCTCACATTTTGTGGAGGTTTCAGTCCACACTCAGCTGGCTCCAAGGCAGAGTGGTACATGGCAGAGGGCAACAGTTCATGGTGGCAGAAGACAGCAAAAGTAACAAGAGCAAAAAAGGAGAAGTGGCAGCAAGTAGCCTCTTTCCCTCCCTTACACTGCATGCAGACTACCTGCCCTAGGGCAGGTGTAGCACTCACACCCATAATCCCAAAACTGAACCATGAATCAATAAAAAACTCTAGAAACCTGCCCCATGACTGCATGAGGCTTTAGGGGAACATCTAGACCCAAACCATAACAAAAGTATTCTAAATCAGCACATAAACTGTGCAGGCTGTGATTTTAGGATGCTCCCCAAAGGCCTGAGGCAGAGGGAAGTACTATGATCCGAGCAGGACAATGTTCATTCCCTCCATGCTACTGTTGCCTTTCTAGTTCTTACTACTGTGCACAGGCTGGGATCACAGGCAGCATTGAATCTAAAATTCAGAAATCATAATTTCTTACAAAACTATCAAAGCATTCCATTTCAAACTCAAATGCTCCAAAAGATCAGAACTCATCAAACACTATCAGAAGGTTCTTTTCAAAGATCCAAAGCAATGAAGCAACACACAATGCATTTTTCATTATTAAATACAGATTTGACTGTAGTAAAATAACAGAATTGTACAGCATGTCTATGTAACTTGTGCACAACAGCTCTCTTTATACATCAAAAAATAGACTCAGAAAGTTTTGTTGATCTGAAAGGCCTCATACAAGCCCAGGGCTTTTCGACCTTACGCCACATAGCAAGCACACTTATTACGACACTGAATGCAAACTTACACTGCGTAGCTGTTATCACAGTCGTCAATTTTTGTTGTATTGAGTCCTGGACAGAAGTTTTGCCCCAAAAATTCATTATGCTGCAAAGCCTATAACACAAGCAGGGGCCTGGTAAGGTAAACAGCCTTAAGTTAAGGATATTCCTAAAGAATAATCACAACTACATCCTTGAATTTAATCCTTATTGTTATTTTTAAAATATACTGTTTTACATTGACAGTCTGTGCCAAAACAACTAGACATGTTCCCTGGCAATCATAAGGACTGAGATATTGCTTCTAATATAAATGGGCAAGTATTTGGCCAAGATACTGAACCTCTGGCTATATTATTCCAAAGTTCCTTTCTTTTTCTCTAATTTTTTAAAAGTATTTTTATAGTACTGGGTATTAAATCCAGGTCCCATGCCTGCTAGGCAAGTGCATGCTCTACTACACTTCTAGCGTAGTTTGGTGTGGTGTTGTTTGATTTGGTTTGAGACAGTGTCTTTTAAATTGGCCAGGCTGGCCTTGATCCTTCTGCCTCAGCCTCCCAAGTGGCTTGCATTATTATCATGCCATCATATCCAATTTCTCTTTCCAATTTTATAATCCCATAAACACTGAAATTAAAGTGATACAAAGTTGCTCATACATATTGTTAATTCAGGTAATGATCTTTTGCTCTTATTTGTTATCATCAAAACAAGTTATAACTATCAGAGTTAGAAATTCAGTACACGGTGTTAAGACACAAAGAGCTTCCTCTGGAGTTACACTTATTCAAGCCAATATGGTTATCAGTATTATATCGTCTTTGTTTCTCTTCTAATGTTAAGGCATTTCAATAAAGACTATGAATTCTAGTAGCCCATGCTCTCATGTATTTTCTTATAGGCTGAAACAATACATTTTTCATCAGTTAGTTGATCTAAACCCTTTAGCTCTGGGATTCCTCCCTATCCTTTATCTCCTTCAACAGAGTGACAGGAAAAACACCCTGGCCTTGAGAAAGCCAAGGCTCACAGAGAGTTCTCGTCTATTGCTCATGAAAGGAAATTCCTAGATAGAAGATCATAGCTCATGGGCAGTGAAATAAGATGGTCAGGACTTATTTTGATGGTTCCCAGCTTAGATCCCAATTACAGTGACAGAGGAGGGGAACTCACTGTGAAGCCGTATCGAGGGATGCTTAAGTACTGAAGCCACGAGAGCCAAGGACCAATGGTTCTGAGATTCACCAACAGACCTGAAAAGAGCTATAAAAACCAAAGTTCACAATCAGAACTAGTGCAGTGATTTCATGAAAAATCCTAGGATTCTCTTCAAGAACCCTACAATCTTCTAAACATTTCTGCTAGGACCAACTTTCTTGAAATTCCTTCCACTTCTAAATACTAATCATCCTCCTTCACATGTGAATACCTCTGCAAGGCTGAGGCTATTGTGGTGATGAAGGACAATAAACCTATACTCTGTATTACATATCCCATTTGTTTGAAAGATCCTTATTTATCAAGACTATGTCCTCAACTTTCTCTGTCACTGAACACCATGGAAGATTAAAAAGTAGTCTTCCCTCAGGTTCCAAGAGGAAATGGTTCCAGGACCCCAAACTCAGATACCAAAATCTGCAAATGATCCAATGCCTTATGTTTAAAATAGTATAGTATTTGCATGTAATTCTTGCATAGTCTTTATACTTTAAGTACATACATCCTGTATGTTTAAAGCCATTTTAACATTGTTTATAATGTAACACAACATAAATGCTATGTAAATAGTCACTGTGCTATATTCTCTAGGGGAAATAAAGTTTGTACAGTCAAGTTTGTTATATATTTTTATCCATGGCTAGTTGAATCTATAGCCATGCATACGATGGGCAAATTGTACTGATTATTCCAATTATACAGCTGCGACCTGTTCCCCCTAATGAATGGAGCACTCTAGGAACAGACCATAACAGTCCTGGGCACCACACTCCAAGATGAGTTGTCTACAAGTTTTTCCACTCTGTATCTCTGAGGTTAGGACTAATACAGGGTTCAAGATAAAGACTTGTAAGTCAAAGTCTAGAACTGATAATGTAGCAAAGTACAGCAAATAATGTGGTTAATACTTTCATTTACAGCTATGAACAAGCACTATTCCAACGGCGTTGCCAGGAAGCATACTCAAGATGAACAAGGGGCAGCCATGAAGTTCACACAAAACTTGCCCTACCTGGGAATAAGGTGTACTGGGATTTGCAAAACAATGACAATGCTCTTGGTGTGTCTACATATTCTGAGATTTAACCTAACCAAGTCCTTAGTATATGAATAAGAAAGTTTTATGACTGGTTTTACAAGTTCTACATAGAAACCTTTAAGTAATAATCAAAGCATTAAATAAATTAAATTTATTGAAGACCATTTTATTTATTGTATGACAGAAAATATAAAGAAAACTCAGCACTTTCTCAGTGATATCGATATGGAGCATTTAAAGATCTGTGGTAATGGGTCCACTCATTTGCTGATTCACCTACATTAAGTATATAACATTAGAACTAAGGAAAAAATAAACAGAAATATATTGATACGAGAGATTCTTAGGAACCCAGGAATGATATGAACTAGTACTGTGGACTTCAGAATTTTCCAGTATTTTTAAAATACTGCTTTTCAAATATAACAGGCAGCCAAGACTGACTTACCATGCTGCACACTGTTATGCTTCTCAGGTTTTTCTTTCACCCCAGAGAGGAGTGCATCCAACCATATTAGCTCTGCTGTGGTTAAAGAACCAGCAACTCTCTATTGCCAGCATGAAAGGCAGGCAAATCACTTGACATTTTTATGAAGGAATCAGCCAATCATAATTCTGGTTTTGGAAGTTCTAATTTGTCAAGATTAAAAAGTAGAATGTCACCAGAAAGTATCTAAAAGTTCATTAATAAGGACCTGGTAACACCATGATAGTAATTGCATTGGGACATGAGTAGAAATGGTTGGATAAGGGCGAGGAGAAAGCTGGCACATTCTCTAATATATACTATACTTAAGTCTTATGGCTTTCTGAAAGCATCAGAGTCCCATATACAGAATCCTCTTAAAGGACAGATGAATGTTCAGGTAGAAACAAGGAAAAGAATTTAGTTTCGGAGAAGCACACTTCATACTCACCATCATGAACACAAAAGATATGGTCATGAGAAGTGTTGCTACGGAGACCACACTCTGACCGGCTGCGATAGCCAGTGCCATGGAACTGGCTGTATAAGCCACCAGCATAAGGGTAAACATCATTATGAAGAAAGCCTCTGCCGCTGGTTTCAACCCTACAAAGAAAAGAAAGGATCATCAATTCAGCTGCCTGGCTCACCACATATTTGGGTGACTCCCTATCCAACCACCCTAGGCCACCAATTTCGTATTTTCCTTCCATGTAACTGCATGAAATTATCATAGTTTTATTTCTTACACTTAGTGCAAAAGCATTTCTCCATATAAAACTTGTCTTCCTGTATATACATTTACAATTTCTAAATTTCTGAGGTGGAGAGCTCTATGCAACACAATGGGCCAGAATTCTACTGCCTTCTCTTCTAAAGAAAACTCAGCAACAGCCATTCACTTCCCCAGACATCTGCACAGCACTCAGTGTTTGCTGTGACTGCACCAGTGAGGAGCCTGGGGTCAGGTCCACTGCTACTGCTATAGGTCGCAGAGTCTGAAGATTTGGGAACAGGTATAAGGATATTGATCAAGAGTCTGGGGGTCTAGATTCCAAGCCTAGTTCTTTATGACATACCTTTTTTGTAAAATAGAAGGTAAAACTCAAATAGTGGCCTTATCTATAGTATCCTGTCAAAAATAGATAGTCTGATGTCTGTGTATCAGTAAAATACATGGAAATTCTGACGCATAATACACAAATTAATATGTCTATATATATCAAACAGATAAGTAAATAAACTCAATTCCACCATACTTCACTTGGGAATAGGTAGGAGAGAATGTACGTGTCCATATTAATTTTTTTATCTGTCTATATATCTCTTTATGTCTCTATAGAGAGATATAAATAAAAAAATAGAGAAATTAGCTGCACCTCATAACCAAGACTAAAGACATATCCATTCTGTCTTGTTACTTACCTAACATGAAGTACACAATACAAGTAAATATAACACTTGGCAACAACCTCATTGGCAGTAAATCAGACAATAATTTTGCAAAGAAGTAAGATGCCACTCTGTAATATCCACTGATATACTCATGTCTATAGAAGAGAAAAACACATCATAGATCTCAGATTAGTTTAAAAAGGCAGAGATCCAAAGATGAGATGCTTGCTGTACAGATTCCTGCTGACACTGAGGCCTAACATGCCAGCTTCCCAAGTCCTCTAGGCTGCCTATCCCCCACACCCTTCAGCCTCTCAAGCGCCAGCACCTCTGGATGTTCAGCTCCAGGAGGCTCTTGCTGCGAGCCTCTCTCTCCGCAGAACCCTTCCAGTAGCCATCCATGCTGGCCAGAGTCCCCATTCAGAAGCACACAGTGGACCTCCTCACTCTCCTCAGAGACTTTGCTTCTCATATGACCCAGGCTCTCTCAGAAGGACAGTATTTCAGGGACTAACTTCTCACTAGTTATGGAGGATTTTCTTCTGCCCACTTCTGATTGTTAAGAAGGCAATGATGTTATTTTCCAAGGCCTACAATGCAGCTTCAGATCAGTATACTCTTTATTTCTTCTATTCTCATGTCAAAAGGAAGGAATCAAAGCAGGAGGGAGGAAAAGAGAAGGAGAGGAGGGCAGGAGCAAGAAAAGAAAAAGGAAGACCTCCTCTTTCAATGATCACACCTCCAAGTACACAGCTGTCACTAGCAAATTGTGATCTTTCTCCTGACACTGTTCTCATAATTCCAATCTTTCCATCAGTATCTTCATTCCTTCCCTCTCTGCTGATTCCCTTCTTTGGCATGTAAATATGGGCAAAACTCTTCCATCTTTGAGAAACACAAGAAACAACGTGGCTTGCTCTTTTACTGTAAAGCTGCCCTCTGGCTCTTTCCACTCCTCCAACCACCTACAGCTACTTGTGGTCACATTCCTTGTCAACTTACATCCCACCTCCAATTTGCTGAACTCACTGAGGTCCCTCAAACTTGTCTTGTAAGAGCCATCATGATCTATTACTTGTTAAAATTGTAAAATATAGAGTTAAGCTCCCTTATCTGCTGCTTTCTCTGCAGCCCCGGGATGTTGCTGACCTTGACACCCTTCTCTCTTGACAGCAGGCCTACCATGCTCTTGACTTTCCACCCGTCCATGACTGCTTTTTCTCAACTACTATATTATTGTTAATCTTCACATATACCTCAAAAGCTCGTGTTCTACGTCAAAAATTTGTATAATTTATATGTATACTATCAATTTAAGAAACAAAGAAATAAAAGAAAAATACTAATTATCCCTAGGATGGCATCTTTGACCCATCAGCCCCCAGTGCCTTCCTAGAACAAAAGGCAGCTCACATGAAAAGTTTCTTCTCCACTACAAAGAGCTCCACAGCTGACACACTGCTGAAACACTGGTTGGTTGTCAAGAAGAACAGCACGCCAGCTCTGCCAGGACAGAATGGGGGCAAAAGCACCAGTCAATTCAACACGCCAGGCAGTTTTCTACCCACAGAACTCTTCCCATGAATCATATAAAATTCAACAGATTTAACATTAAAAAAGGTAAAATTGTTCTGGCTAAAACAGGGAGGGAGAAAAACATGGCCCTGTTAGGTCTTTTCCCTGTCTGTCTCCACAGTGGGACCCCCCTGAATCCATATTACAGCACATTTTGAAATTTACACCCATAAGTTCTTGCATACCAAACTGTGTTACCCTAAAAATCATATGCTGAGCTGGGTGTGGTGGCGCACACCTGTGATCCCAGCACTAGGGATGCTGAGGCAGGAGAATCACTGCAAGTTCAAGGCCAGCCTGGGCTACAGGGTACATAGCAAGTTCAAGGCCAGATTGAACTGCATAGTGAGACCTTGCCATGAGAAGGCATAGGGCCAAGAGTAGTGGCACACACCTGTAATCTCAGCACTAGAGAAGCTGAGGCAGGAGGATCACTGTGAGTTCAAGGCCAGCCTGGGCTACAAAGTGAACTGCATAGTGAGACCCTGTCTCAAAAAGCCAAAAAGTAAAATAAAAAAAAATAAAATAAAATAGTAAAATAAAAAAAAAAAAGTAAAATAAAATAGGGCATAGAGTGAAGGAGGTCACTACAGCTGGGTTGGGGTCCTCCCAGTAACCTGACCCCAGACCCCAGACAAGAGAATTGAAGGACAATAACTTCTGTAGTTTAAGCTACTCAGCCTAAGGTATTCTGCCCAAGTTCCTACACTGGTCACAAAGATACCATCATGTTCCATTTAATTAATGAAAATGCCAGGTATCATTCTTAAAGTCTAAACAGAAAAATAACAGTAAGCTAAATTAAATCTCAAAACATTGAAACATTTAATTATCCACACTCATTTTAAAACTGAGCAAAGAAATAAAGAAGACATATAGAAGGAAAACAAAAGAAAGGAGGGAATCCTTACTCGGTGCCATATTCCAGTTATCTATACACTCCCTCAGTAAAGCCTTGATAATCGTCCCTTACACGGGACAACTCACTGCCTACATGATTTCTAAAGAACTCCAAAAGGAAAGCAAAGCAAGGCTTAATAATAAAGAATAAATTAATTTGTGCATTATATGAACAGTAAGACTTAATGCTCATTTCTCAGTAAAAAACTTGAGATTTAAAAAGGAAAGCACCCAATTAACCTACACTTGGATGGAAATACAAACTTTATGAAAGAATGGAATAGGGACAACTCCCTTCATAACCAAACAATTTAATTCACACGGAAGACATTAATTGGAATGGAAAAAGAAATGTTACTTAAATGACATCAAAACCAGAGACTATTTCTTAAAAATGTAAACCTAAGTGAACAACCCTAACTATCCACAGACATTTGATAATTCTTGCTTAATACCTTAAAAATGAATAAGGAAAGGTACAAGCTGTTTTAAGTCTAAATGTTTATACCACTATTAAAATGAAAACAGGCTTAGTAGATAAGCAGCTATGAAATTTCCATACAGAAATAAATGTACTGCCAACATAAAACTAATTTCAGAAACATGTGTAGGGTTCTGTCTTACATCTAACAGCACAGTAATGTTCATAACGTTTCTGAACAGAACAGTGAAACGCCTCCTAAATCAGAAGATGCTTTATTTTATACTAAATGGGTCTTATTATGAAAGAATGTAATGAATTCTAATTCTTTTCAAGGTGGTAACCCACACCCATCATATCTACTTATTAATCTGATTTTTAAAAAACTTCTAAACTGTAAGTTGGCAAATTATGGCTTTATAATTATGGGATGTAAAGGGGTACTATGACTTGTGAATGCAATGTGAAATAAATGAGGCCAATTTACATGATAACCATTACCTCAAATAGTACCTCACCATTTCATGGTGAGAACATTTAAAATTTACACTCAGTAATTTGAAATATGATTTGGGGGGTACCAGGAATCAAACTCAGGACCTTGTGCTTGACAGGCAGGCATTTGTGCCGCTGGGATACAACAAAGCATCCCAGGTCCTAGGATAATTATTTACTGCCATCTCCAAAGTGTGAAATGTATCTCAAAGAAAAAACCTGATGCCTCCCATCTACGACTCTGCACCCTTGACCCTCATCATTCTCTCCACTCTTCTCAGTCTCTGGCAACCACTATTTACTTTTCACTTCTAAGACTGCAAACTGTTTCACGTTTCACATAGGTGAGAACATGTAGCATTTATCTTTCTGTGTCTGGGTTGTTTTACTTAATGTGATGTTCTCCAGTTCCATCCACCTTGTCCATTTTTTTCTTTTTTATGGCTCAATATTATTCCATGGTGTATGCAGTACTGTATTTTCTTACACATTCATCTGCTGATGAACAATGAGATCCAGTTCAAATCTTGGCTATGAACAGTGCTGCAATGAACACAGCAGTGCTTCAACAAACTGATTCCAAATATTTTCAAAAATGCCCAGAAGAGGGATTACTAGATCCAAACTTTTTTAGAACTATATTTTCCCTAATTTGTTTAGCTATCACCATAACCCAGGTGAGAAGGCTATTAAGTCAAAGGAGCTCACACTCTACACATGATTCAAACCCAATTTCTCAGTTACTGCTACTTATTCCTACCCTGAAAAAAAAAAAAAAATCAAAATGCATAAAGGAAATTAGCTTGCAAGCAGCAGGAAAAGAAGAGATAAACTGGTCATCAAAATTAAAAATGTTTGTGCATTTACAGAGTGAAAAGACAACCTACAGAATTACAGCATATACTTGCAGAGCATGTATCTGATAAGAAATTAATATGCCAAGCCGGGCATGGTGGTGCACGCCTGTAATCCCAGCACTCAGGAGGCTGAGGCAGGAGGACAGTTGCGAGTTCGAGGCCAGCCTGGGCTACAAAGTGAGCTCAAGGCCAGCCTGAACTGCACAGTGAGACCCTGTCTCAAAAAAAAAAAAGAAAGAAATTAATATTCTGGAGATGTGGAACAATAGGCACCCTGTGTGCTGTGGGTAAGAAAATGAAATGGTACAGATACTGCAGACAGTAGGGCAGCCGTTCCTCAAAAACTAACACAATTACTGTGAGATTCAGCAATTTTACTTCAGTAACATATCCCAAAGAACTGAAAGAAGGGATTCAAACAGAATTTCTACACTCATAGAAACATAATTTACAATAGCAGAAAGCTGGAAGAAGTACACTACAATGCAAATGAATCATGAAAATCTTATGCTAAGGGCAGGCAAGAAGTCAGGACATTAACTTATCACTCCACATATATCTGGTCCCTACAGTAGTCAACTTCTGAGACACAAAGTGGAATAGCGGTTTCCAGACATTGAGAGGGGTAGATGTGGGGGATTATTTGTTAACATAATTAATTACTTTAATGTAATACAATTTTATTGCAATTTGATTTAGGAAGACTGAAAAAAATTCTGTAGTTAGATGTTAACAATGTACAACAATGTGAATATATATAATGCCATGAAACTATACATTTAAAAATGGTTAGAAGGGGGGCTGGGGATTTAGCTCAGCGGCAAAGCGCCTGCCTGGCAAGCGCAAGGTCGTGAGTTCGGTTCCCGGTACCGGAAAAAAAAAAAAAAAAAAAAAAAAAAAAAAAAGGTTAAAAGGGTAAATTTTATGTCCTGAATAGTTAATCAATGCACATACATAAGTGTGTGTATATGTGAAAAAGAAAATGAATTCTTCCTTCCAGTTTTCCATTTACTGACTCATCCTACCCCACAGCAAAACAGTAGCATTTACCCTGTACTTGTCTTTTGTTCAAATTCTTAAACTTAACTCTTAACCTCTCCATAAGCTTGAACAAAGTAACAGCATTCTCTCAAAATGTACTCACCTATTCTGGATTCCAGCATTGTTATTTTCTAGCTTGAAGTAAATGGCACCTATAACCAGTGCCAAAAAGATTGTGACAAAGATCTGTTCAAAAAGAAAAATGAAAATAAGAGTTTCAATTAGACATAAACATTTTTACATATACATATACAGCCATATATATGTCATATACAGCCACATAATTAGTTTTCTCTATTGACATAGACACTGTGAATGGACTAGCTGGTGCTGGGGATGTAGCAGAGTGCTTCTTTATCTTATTTTTGTTACCGGGAATCAAACTTAGGACTTTGTGCTTCTCAGGCAGGCGCTGTGCCACTGAACTGTATTCCTGGCCCGAGTGCTTCTTTAGTATGTGATGCTCAGCTCAAACACAAGCACTACAGAAAAAAAAAGTTCAGCCAGAGGCCCCAAGAGAATATACATTGGGGAAATGATTAGACTGCTTCCTAAATTAATTGAAAAGTTCACTGTTTGGGAAACTGAGAGGATGGCAGAGCAGAACCTAGAAATGCTAGGGTTCTCCCAGTGACCATCAGGCACTGCTGATTTAGGGTCCAGCTCATGTGTTGGACCATGAAGGCCACACGCGGAGCAGAGTGACGCAGACACCTGGAGAAGTCACTGGGGAACAGTCTGTGTAGCTAAGAGTTGAATTTGAATTGAACTTCCGGCCTCTGTTTTGATGAACACACATTTTTTGACTTCAAGAGCTTCAAGTGAAAACAGGATGTCTTTAATGTTCACATTAAAAGTAAATAAAAGTTTGAAAACACAATTTCTAACAATGGAATTTTTCACGTTAAGGAAGTAGAGCTGAACTGGGCCCCACCTAGCCAAGCTCTGGGAAACCCTGCCTTAATGGGAAAACTCATTGTCCCTCTCACCAAAGCGTCCAGGGCCTTCTCTGGCTCACCCAAGTGCTTCCTTTACCCTCTCCTCTGTCACTGCTTCTCCGTCAGCCTTGGCCTGTGGTCCACATGGCCGTCTGAGCTATAGTGCTTTGCATCCTCACCTGTCTTCATCTACTCAATCTCCGTGGAGGGCTCCCAGGGAGAATAGACACAATGAATCACAAAGGGGATTAAGGGCTATATTATGTTATAATTCATTTGAGGAATTCTACTTATTACTCAAATAGCAATAATAAAAATATAACAAATGGTATTCTAAAGAAACTGAAATATCCTACTAAATATACAAGAAACTTCAATTTAAAAAATCTCAACACTAAAATAGTACCCAAACGTTAACAAATTTGTGAAAGCCTTTGCATGAAAATGCCAAAGCAGAAAAACAGAATTATGACCTGTAAAGACTAGGTGGTGAAGACTACAGTCTAGAACAAGTCTTTACATGTTTCAATTAAAAGATATCCTTAAAAATCCCTTTGCTAACAAGACAGAAATTTAGGAGGGAAAAAGTCCATTAGCCTGGCATATTTTCACTATTCTCAGGGTATAACCTGCTTCATTTCAACAGATTAAGCTTCCAAAAGAAATGCTGGTAACTATCCACATGCAGCATGCATACACAAAAAAGAGTCTACACTTTCATACAGCTCAACTTAGACTATTTGTCTTCTAAACTGGACACTCCCCACTCTATTTATTTACACTCAAATTTGATATCTTATATTAACACTGCTAGTATTGTCATTAGGGTGTTTCCTAAAGGCTTCAAAGTTCTAAAATAATTCCGCTGAATTTTCAAACATTTTGAGAGAACAGTGAATCCCATAATCATGGCCTGTCTTTATCAGTGCACCTGTGTTATTCTTTCTTGTATGAAAAGAAACAAAACCACCAGGCAAACTGGCAAACTGAACACTGCACAGTGAGGCAAATGATACTGTCCACAAGCCTGAGCATCTGGCCGCCAGCTTCTGTTTTTGAACAGAAGGATAAAAAAAATAAATTCTCCACACACATTATCCTGTGTATGTTCAAATACATTTAATTGACATTTCTCAAGGTATATTTTGTTTTGTGTTGTTTTTTTGTCTTTCTTCTGGTACCAGGAATCGAACTCATGACCTTGTGCTTGCCAGGCAGGCGCTCTGCCGCTGAGCTAAATCCTCAGCCCCTCTCAAGGTATATTTTGAGGGATGTTTGTGGCTGTCATCATGAATCCATGGTTATATGGTTAGCATGCCAATAGAAACAATGGCTCTCCAAGAGATTAATGATAAAATCTTTCAAACAAATTTAATAAGGAAACCCTTGCACAGTAAATGAATGTTAAATATTCTTATGCAAGAATATTTCCAGAATTCTTATGTAAGAATATTAATCCAGTCATCTCCAAATCTCCCAAATATAATCTCTACTTAGAGGCCAAGTCTGAAGCATATAAATAATGACTTTAAATCAAAGCTAAGAAACTGAAGTTTCATATTATAAGAAATACTATTTTTGATCTTTTTATCTTATATCTATTAAAAAAGTTGGCAGGAACTATCCTTAGCTTACAGGGTTAACAAAAACAGGTGGCTGCCCTGTTTGGCTGTGGGTCACAGCTTACTAACCGTAGGCATAGGCTTATTAATCTTATGTGGTTTTTATTACTCTCTGTTTCTGAACATGAAATTATTATTTTTTTTATTTTATTTTAGAGAGTAAAAGGATAACATAATAATTGGGGAGCCTCACCAAATTACAGACAAAGTGGTAGGAAATTATCAATGGTTAATTGTTTTACATATTGTTATCTACAAGATAGTTTCTCAGGAAAACAAATAGACAAATAATAGTGAGTTACAGACAAAGGAGGTAGGAGATTAACAATAGTTGTTGTACTATACTTTGTTATCTTCAAAGTGGCTTCTAAAGAAAATAACAGAGCTATACATGAGTGATCTATTGAAAAATCATTAACTATTCTCAATGGTTGTTGTAGGAAACACATAATAATAGACATGCATCCATTTAAGAAACAGGATAGGAACAATACAAACATTACAGAGTTATGGATAAACTAGTAGGAAAGTATCAATGGCTGCTGTAATACATGGTGGTATCTTCAAAGTGATTTCTCAGGAAGACAGAGATATGCAAGAAGGATCTAACAAGTAGTTACAGCCTAAGGGTTGTCAAATATAACATATTACCTCCTCACCAGTGACTCCTGTCACTGAGGTGTGACGGCTGGAAGGAAGGCCAGGATTGAAAAGAAGGACCAAGAGACTTGCACCTGTGTCTAGCAACAGGCTGTTTTCTTGTTCCTCCTTAGTCATGATTACCCAGGGCTCCTCCATAGAGCTGACAGTCTGGCCAGAGGGAGAAGGCAGAGTATACCCCGGACCCCCTCATTCCTGTTGGACTAACTGGTAGCATGGGTCTGAGCTCTGGGGCCGCTGCTTCAGAAGGCAGTCTGATCTCCAGTGGTCACCTTTGCATTCAGGGCATGGCCCATGAGGCCTCTTAGGGCAGTTCCTCTTGAGGTGGTCTGGCTTTTAACAGTGGTAGCAGATGAATGCAGTCGCCGAGTTCTTCTTGGGGCCCTGGGAATCAGACTTAGGATCTGTTTCTCTTAGTGTTGCAGCAAAAGTAGCTGCTTTTTCTCAGTCTCTTTGTTTTCTCTCCTTGGCCTCCTCCTCATCATGGCTATAGAATACTGAGCAGGCAATTCTTACTAACATCTCAAGTGAGCTATCTGGGGTGAAAGCCATTCTTTGTAGCGTTTTCTCTCCAGCCTTCCACTGCATTGGGACCCCACAACCAGTTAGTGTCCTCTCCCCAACTGTCAGCACAGGCAGCAGGAATCTTGCTGCAGACCTCTCCGGAGCTCCACCACAGCCTGTACTGTCAGGGGAAGAATGGCTTCCAATGAGTCTCCGCAGGTATTGTGCAAGGTCCTCCTGGTTTACAGCTTCCAAACAGCTCTCATGACCCCAGTCCATAGGACCTCTGACTCCGTGGGCTTAGTCTGCATTTTCATGTTCTCCGAGTCCTTGTTCAGCAGCTTCTCCTCCGCTGACTCTGGACCTTTCTGGTTCTCAATGGCAGGAGCAAGAGTGACTCACTGTATGGCATGTATTCCCAGGGGTTTCCTCCATGTTTGAATGATTCACACATGTCCATGGGTGGGCATCTGCAGCCAGTGCATGATAGGCCAATTGTGTCATTGTTTCTCTGTGTCATGGTAGTTCTCAATTGAGCGGTGGTGGCTGGCCTGAGGGCTGGTGCGCAACAGCGCTCACTGCCACGTGGCTTCCAGTGCGCCGGGGGCCCTCCTTCCGGGTGCCTACGAGGCAGGGAGCCGGCCCGAAGACCAGCGCTCCCTACCCCGTGGCTTCCCGTGCGCCAGGGGCCCTCCTTCTGGGCACCTATGAGGCAGGGAGCCGGCCCGAGGACCAACGCTCCCCACCTCATGGCTTCCCATGCGCGGGGGGCCCTCCTTCTGGGCGCCTACGAGGCAGGGAGCTGGCCCGAAAACCGGCGCTCCCCGCCCCATGGCTTCCAGTGCGCTGGGGACCCTTCTTCCGGGAACATGAAATTATTATATTTTATGGTTTACTAGTATCTGTTTCCTTATAGCTGTACTTTGATTTCAAGTCATTATTTATATGATTCAGACTGTAAAGTTTTACTGTCACACAGCCTTGTTTATTTGCTTAGGTATTCGCTACAGCTGCTGTCATACTAAAATGATGGGGTTGATACCTGAGATGAAGACCGTACATGGATGACCTGCAAAGCCTAACAAATTCACCAACTAGCACCCTTGAAAAATGGTGTGCTAGTCCTACATTAATATTCTGTCCTTACAAACCCAAGTAAGAGTGGGCCCACTACATTCAGGAGGATACAAGGTTCTATCCTTATTGTAGAGACTACTACTTCTCTGAGCATTGCTGGGATTCTTTCCAGGGAACTGAGTTCCATGGTCAGGCAAGGAGGCTGAATATGCATCCTGGAGGCAAAGAGCGTGGTGTTTGCATCGCATGGAAACATAGCACCGAAACAGGCACAATCCTGGAGTACTGCAAGAAACAGTGTTCTAGTCATGCCTCGCCCAGAACTACCATTTGTGAGCCTTGGATAAGAACTTATACTTTCAGAGCACGCCAAAAAAAAAACTAATGCAAAAATCACATGCAAAAATTAATTCATTACATCCTCTCCCTGTTTAACAATGGGTAACCCAGGGTGATGGATCTAACTTGTGAATTTTTACCAAATGACATGAATCTATTCTCAAAAATTAAGATTTTATCCTTGATTTATAGGACAAAAAACTTCATGTTCTGAAAGGAATGACAAATCATGAGAACCAAAAAATGTGTAGAACAACTGACAAAGTAACACAGACAGGGATGTAGGCTCTCAAGACACAGTTGGAAGGTACAACACTTAAACTGGACTGTCAACTTGACTGGCTTGCGGGCCACTGAGGGAATGTGTATGAGTGTAGGTGGGTGGGTGACAGGGGCCTGACACTGGGGTTTATACTTGGGTCCTGGCTCCTTCCCTCTGGCACTGATCCCTTGTACTCTCCTTCTCAGCCCCCATGAAGTGAGCAGCTTCTCCATCTTGCCCTCAGATCACAATGCCCCTGCCTGGGAGCCAGCCAGCCTTAGACAGAAACCATGAGCCCAATAAAGCTTCCTCCTTTAAGTTGGTGATTTTGGGTATTTGTACCAGCAAAAGGAAAGTGGAACAGCACAGAGAGTGACAATACTAAAATAGGAAAACTATGGTGCTCATGTTAAGAAGTCAGTAATCTGTCATTAGAGCTAAAAATATTTCATCTTCCCATACTCACAGCATTTGGCAAATAAGGCTCTTTGCTCAGACAGTGCACAGCCCGAATTACCCTACGGTGCATGCAATTCCTCCATCTGATGCCAACTGCAAACCAACCCTCTGCTCCTCCTCCTCTTCTTTCCCTCCTTCTTCACTTCTCTACTTAAACTTTCTGAATAGTCCCTTCAGCCATTTGACATACTACGTATTTCCTTTAGTCAGTTATCCTCTCACTGCCCACATAAGAAAAAAAACTTTACTAGACCAGATTTTCATTTGTGCCCATTTTGTTCATTACTGTATTAGTGTTGCAAAATGCAACACAGGATTTCTGCATTGAACTTGTAGGATAAATCAGTGAATGAATGTGGGCAGTTATATGAATAATTCATATGTACTTGAGGCTGTCTTTACAATTCCTAAAAAAACAAAATTTCTACTGAGATTACTCATTACAACCTGTCTAAATTATCAAAACTTCTGAGTTAGGCAATCTAAGAAATCACTAACAAAACTTTTTGGGTTTTTTTTTTTTTGGTCTTTTTGAGACAGGGTCTCACTATGCAGTTCAGGCTGGCCTTGAGCTTACTTTATAGCCCAGGCTGGTCTTGAACTCGCAACAATCTTCCTGCCTCAGCTTCCTGAGTCCTGGGATTCCAGGTGTGTGCCACCACACCTGGCCTTAAAAGTTTTCCATAAGTAAAAAAATAAAAGCTTGTTCTACTGACAGTTTCTATATCCCAAATGAAGCAGGGATGAAGAATAAATGGAAGAGTGGGTGAAAGGTTAACATAATCCTAAAAGAATAGGATATAATCTAATATAATACACTAGAACATGACTCTACCCACATGAGCATTTCATAGCATAATTAAGACCTGCCAGGTTACCTGAGCTATGGAGGCCTGAGGATTGCCCAGTAGGTTTTTGAATGAACGTTTGGCAATCCATCTCAGCTGGTGACAGAAGGAGGTCACATAGGTATTCTCCTTGAAGGCTACACTCCTCTTCTTCTTATGACCACCTGAAAGTTGATCTAATTCAGCTTTCATATCTTTGTACAAGGCAGACATGGCATAGAATTCACCTAGTTTTTCTATGATTGGCTGATCTCTCTTAGAAGGCTCTTCAGTCCTGTTGGCTTTGGAATAAAAGTGGATAAAGAAGAAAAACATTATTAATAGATAACTGCTTTTTGTTTTTATAATAGATAATTGATTTAATTCATTTTTCTGTAACCTCACTGACAGATAATATATTGATTTTGGGCAGGGGTTAGTTTGAGACAGGGTCTCACTATGTTACCCAGGCTGGCCTCAAACTCCCAGCGATCATCCTGCCTCAGCCTCCCAAGTTTCTGGGATCACAGGCACGTGCCACCATCCCCTGCAATACGTTGATTCTAAAGCTTGCGTATAAACTAATTACTAGATATTTCACTGGTTTGCATGTTATAAAAATGTACCTATCTGTCACCAGAATCGTAGGAAAACAAACCTGCTGACCTTTCTCTTTTTGAACCCTAATTCTTCAAACAGATTTCCTACTATACAATCACATGACTCAATATAAAAATCAGGGCCCTGCACTGGGAAATGCATGAAGTACAAAGTTCTTTTTTAGAAATAAAACTATGGGGCTATGGATATAGCTCAGCGGCATGAGCACCTGCCTGGCAAGTGCAAGGTCCTGAGTTTGATTCCCATACCAAAAAAAAAAAAGTATAAATAAAACTATAAACAATGACCACATTTATTTTTTAATTGAAACACCTCTTACAACTGACAGCATTATAAAAATATTTACACATAAATATATGAAAAATACCAACAGCGGCCATGGACGACAAATTCTGTCTACTGACTGGTATCAGATCATTATGCTAAGGTGAATTCATGAAGCCATCACATGGCTCAACTTGAGCCAAATCCATTTGGCAAAAATCGATTAATCTAAGAGTCACACACCTTCAACGCTTTCTTCCTTCCTGCTTAGTACCACAGCAGAGGAGTCTCCGTTAATCACATCCAGGAAGAAGTCAGCGGGGTTGTTGTAGGGCTCACAGGTATAACCTAAGAGAGAAGGCAGAACAAGAACACAGACTGCCAGTCGCAGAACACAGAGGGCTCACTTTCAGTGGGTAAGGGGGCAGACTGGGAAGACAGAGCTAACAACTCCCTCACCTTGTTCTCTTACTGACTCGCTAGTGATTCTTTCCTCTAACGTGCTCACTCACACAATATTTCAGGAGTTCTTTATCACCCAGAAAATATAGATTCCAAAGCATTCATGGAATCTTAGATTAATCCTTATTGAGAGGGGTTGGGGATTTAGCTCAGCGGCAAAGCGCCTGCCTGGCAAGCGCAAGGTTGTGAGTTCGGTTCCCGGTACTGGAGGAAAAAA